TATGGATGACAGTAATGCCAAGAATTATACACAAAACCATTAACCTTATAACTTATATAACTTATAACATAACTATATAGTGAACTTATGTGGTTTTAATTACCAGATTTCCATACAGTAGCTCACTCGGGTTTAGAAAGCGACTTCCTGATTGATACAACACTCAACAGTAACAAAAACACGTCACAGATTCATGGAGGGTAGGCTGGTTCATACATTACAAAATGAAAGTACCTTCTAATCAAATCAGACTAGAAGAGTGAAGAAAGGCTGCCAATACAAAAACCCAAACACAGAAGCATTACCACAGTTTTGAGTAATGAATAAAAGGAGGAAGTATTTGTTCAATTCAATTTGTTCAATCAAAAGTTCCACGTTTTTGTGCATTAGTGTCCCTTGGAAGTGTTGGGGAGTGGGGGAGGAGGAACACATGACAAGAACAGCTCCTTAAAATACTCCTCAAGGAAAAGAAATCAACTTCCTGAAGTTAAAATACACTTCTGGATTGCATTTGATTGGCTGAGAGTCTAAAATGGATATAATCATAATTAGTATTTGCTATTGATATTCTTGAATTTTTATGTGTAAATGCAAACCTCAATTAATGCAAATAATTTTTGGTAAATCATTTAAAAAAAAATAATCAAACTTAACAGTCAACCAATTGTTACTATACTATGCCAAAGAGATCCAGTTTGGACAAGTTTGTATGTTGTAACTAATGTAAGCAGGACTTACATAAGCAGCAAATAACAGAACATACTTTATAGACACCAAAAATTTGTTTTGAGAATTGTTACTTAACCTGTTTCATTAGATCTGTTTTAAATGTAAGAATAACATGCTTGCTCTGTTGCCCAGGTCATCCAGTTATCTCTCTCGCACTGTAGCTTCCTGCCATGTTCACCCTTACTCCTTTATCAACAAAGTCCACCATAATTTTGTTTCCCCTTAGCTCACAATCTAAAAGTAACCCTTTGTTCCTTGTCAGGATTTCTTTTTTTTTTTTTTTTTTTAATGCATTTAAAGCCAAACAAAAATAACAGCAAAACCAAAACCACCACGCCTGATACTGCCTGTGCATGTTCTGCATTTGTTAAATTCGGGATGACCTTTGTCTGGAATTGAAATTCAGAGCAGATACCACATCGCTACTTTTAATTATGTTTATGAGAAGCATCTCCTCCTTTAATGCAATGACCATCTCTCCACTTGCGAGCGAGGCTGGTATCAATGATTAGAAAAGCATATTGGAGCTGTTTGTGATTACTCTTGCCAAATTATTGGAGCCGACTCATTTATTAATGCTTAATGAAATACAAGAAAATGTTGCTGCTATTTCACTTACATGGTTTGGAGAAGAGAAATCTTGAAAGCAGATTCAGATCAAAGAGGAATAGCTTATTTACACAATCGGTTCAGAAAAGATTTGCTTTTTCCAGGTGATATCATTACGAAATGCACACAACTTGTGAATAACTGTAAGCCTATTGCAACCAATGGGATTTTTTTTCCCCCCCAACAACTTCAGCAAAGCAAGATAGTGCCTAAATCAACAAAACATTCTCTGTGGTCTCTGAATTCTCCAACTAGTCAGGTAGACATTTGGTAAATTTAGGGACTCTAATCAAATTATCAGTTCTTCCAAAGACGTTGTCACACTACAACAGTGCTTATGAAAGCAAACAAAGGATCGGGAGTAATGATAGCTTCATAGGCAAAGAGGAATGCATACAAAACCAAAACACATTGCAACAACTGAAGTTGTAACATCTTGTAGTAATTCCTGAATGCATAGTGTTTATCTCCACAAGTATCAAAGCAGATATGTATTTTAAATTCTGTGACTAATAAGCTGTACTTGCCGTAAGTAACTTACTGTTCCTCACAGAACCTTTCACTAATAAGTAATTGAAAATTTGACTCAAATCAAAAATAGGAAAAATATTCAAATATGAATCTGTATACTGCCCACCACCCAATTACTTGCCAGAAGACATTTCAAAATACTTATTTTGCAAGTTAATGTAATGCAGAAGAATAACAGTGGCCATCAATTTAGATTAGTTCTGATCTGAATGCTGTAACTCTCTCTTTCATTTCCAATACATTCATTATTCTGTCAGTACCTATGAGAAGCACTGACACAATGGCACTGAGAACTTCCAAGTCTCAGATTTGTAACTGCAGTGGGAGGGACAAAAGGGTTCAGGGAGACTTTGAGTATCTGATGATTGTGCAAATGCATTTTACAAATAGATGCAGCGATTGGGGTCTTGCCCCTTCTTTGTTTCCATGGAAACAAATGTAAAATTAACCCCCCTCCCCCAGAAAGTAACATCCAAGTGCCTTAAGTTGGGTCTTTAACTTGCAATTAGGAATTATTGGTTGGTGACGTATTTTTTGAACTCTAAGATCTGATTCTTGCCTCAGCCTAGAAGCAACAGTCTCAAAGCAGGCCATTAGAGCTGGATGGAAGACTGCTGTCAGCTTCGCTGGTGAACTCAGCTCACTTCATAGTACTCAAACGTTCTCATGGCTGAAAAACATTCCCAGCCACTCAAGCATACATCTCCACCATCAGCTTTGGCACAAAGGCAAACACAGGTCATCTTGACAGCAACCTTACTAAGATTTTGTTTGCATAATCGAACTACAGAGTGGGCGCTAATAAAATTAAATTGCTGCTCATTTTGAAAGTAGGGCTTGTCCTACCATTCTGCCTTTAGCATGACATTTATCAAAAGATAAGACAAACGTACTTCGAGAAGCTGTCAGGAAAAGTAGTACTAAAATTAAAATACTACGAAGATAACTGAGAGGAAAGCATCAGACAGCTGTGAAAATGATTTCAGAAGACATATGGAAGCTCTGTTAGATTATGATCTTCTAAAACATTCATCTATTGCTTTTGGGACAGAAAGCTAAGAATATACGAACACTCGAGGCTCCAAACATTCCATTCAATTTAAAAGGTATCCATTCAGAAGCAGACTGAGCTGTCAATTGAATAAATAATTTGAGTCAAGAATCATTTCCTAGCAGTTTGCGTGGGTTTTGGTTGCTGGTTTTATCGTTTCTGTAAAGTTTTAAAGCGATGATTGAGTACAAATGCATTAAAGAAAATCCTTCTCCCATTAAAAGGGAAACCTCTTGACCTTATGTAGAAAATTATGTTTGCTTCCAGTAATGGCAAAAGTAAATCTTTACAATGAGTATATTTTGATAATTAATGTCAACAGGATCAGACAACAAAAAGTAAACAGATCTCATTTTCTCATTCCAATGTATAATGTGATTTTAACACTCTTTATCACTCAAGGTTACTGCACAACTTGCCAAATACTAACATGAGTATCTCTTCATCAAAGTATTTGGACAACTGCAACCTCACCTGTGTAATTCATGGACATGGACCTTTTTTCCTCCATTTTGCTACAAAGCAAAAATTGAACCAAAGCAGATGGCCACTGAGGTACTCTCTAGAAGTCAGTACTAGACTTACTCCAAAGTCTATGTGAAACTTAGATATAGGTGAAAAAACCCAAGCATTTAGAAAAACAAGATGTTTTGTCAGCTTCAGAAGCAGTGCACTAAAGAACAGCTAGCTACCACACATCTCCACAGTGTGAAAAGACACATGCCTTTAACAGTTAAGCACTATCCAAGAAGTATTATCTAGAAGACCTCCAGATAGACATTAAGTCTCAACGTGCACACACTCAATAGGTATCAGTCTCAGATTGACTCCACAGAAGCTCACAGACTTGGGCTATTCAAGAGATGCAGATCATTTTAAAAATTCTGAATGTAAACAGCACAGTGGTCAAGTCAACTGAATTTTCCATTTGTGCATTAACTCCAGTTATCAGATTTTGACACCACGATATTTCAAAAGCAGCAATGAGGAAGTTAATGAAGCATAACATTTGGATTCTGTAGGTTTTACTTTAATTTTGAATAAGGACTAAAACTTCTCTAATTGAACTCAATTTATGGACTATTACTAACTATTCACAGAAGCATTAAAATCTCCCTTTTTAAAAAAGCACAAGTTACCATGTTAATTACCAGGTCAATACTTCCGATTTTGTGCACCTATAGGAAATACTTAAGTCCGAGTTAACTGACTAGATTTCCCTTTTTAGGAATACAGAAAAAAAAGGGATAATTTTCATCGTTGCTCACCTCATCCTGAGATATGCATCTAAAACAGGTCAGAGGAATCTGCTCCAATGTGCTCACTTATCTCCACTCATTACAAAAGAAGTCAAGGCAATCAGTTGTTCTACATACATTCCCATCATAGGCATCAAAACTTCAACAAAATGAACATCATCTTTAGTAACTACGTGCTTTCTTAGAAACCTACAGCATCATGACTTTTATTTAGAATTATCAAGGTCATTTAAAGACATTCCTGGGGAACACAATGAAATATTTTCAATATGATATGGGCTATTTAGCATTCATAGATCATAAATCCACTTTTAGTTTTCTTACCGTGACAGGAACCATCCACTTCTTCATATCCTACGCTGCAGATACATCGTCCAAGAGGCACAAGCCAATCCCCATCTGCTCCACAATACAATTTTGGAGTATCACGCTCCTCAGCACTCTTCACACAGGAGCCCCGCACTTCCACCAAAGAGGAAGAATCAACCCTTGGAATAGTATCAGGAAACATGGCCAAGTTACGGACTGTGAAAGGGCACTTCTTGTAATAAACACGGACTGAGACCAAAGCAATACATGCTCCAATGTCCTGAAATGCAAGATAAAAGCCTTTCTTGTTTATTGGCCCAACCTCACGAACTTCTGTGTTGAGTTTAAGAATGCGATCACCCAAGTCCATCTGAGTAAAGCTCTCATCAGCCGCAATAGTATCAATTTTAGTGTACTGGTTTGGCTTGAATTTTAATCCATGAGACTCATCTGATTCCATGTAGTAGAGATTAAAAGTTTCCTTGCAGGTTCCCACTACCCACGGAATGCTGTTGCAGTCCCTCAGGGTAAACTTCATTTCCACATAGATTTTCTGCGCAGCATCACGGGAAATCCAGTTTGTTCGAAGCCAGTTGTTTTGGTTTGGTTCCATCACATTGCACACCTGGTACGTATGAATGGGATGATTGTGTTCATCCATTTCAGTAATGGCATCCCACTGAAAAGAAAACAGACTGTTTGAAAACCAAGGAAAACATAAATTTTGCTATCTACAGAGCCAATCTCAACACGCATAAATGTGAGTATATGAAATCATGGCTGGATTAAAAATAATTGTTTGTGTCGAGATTAGAGTAATAACAGTAGTTAGAAGCAAATACCAGCTACAGAAGTAGCTACAGAGTTTTCTACAGAGCAGAAAAGTTTTCAGAAATTCTATAATAAATTTCTATGAATCAAAAAAAAAGTCTCTGATCAATGTGGCTTCAATAGAAGATAGAAATAGTGGCCATAGTTGGTCAGTACATCTATACACAGACTCAGATGTACATAGTGGCCTGGAGGTGTTCAAGGCCAGGTTGGATGGGGCCCTGGGCAGCCTGGTTTAGCATTAAATGTGGAGGTTGGTGGCCCTGCATGTGGCAGGAGGGTTGGAGATTCATGATCCTTGAGGTCCCTTCCTACCCTGGCCATTCTGTGATTCTGTGATTCTGTATAAGCTCTCCTGATTTACACAATTATTGTAGACACAGTTAAATGTACAGGTAAGAGATATTTCTGGCTCCATAGACGCTGTATTACACTCATTTCTTCTTAAATAAAAAATAAAGATCTATCACAGGCATCATATCATTTATTTACCCCTATAAATTCTCTTATAAACTGAACATGAAATAGGAATTATCATTTTTATTTCTTTAAGTTGTGTGCATCAATATCACTGAATTGTTCTCAAATGCTGGTGGGAACCCATGCCATAAGGCCATTGAAAACATGCATCTACAAAAAGCCATCCATGTACTAAATATAAAAGAATTATTGAACATCTAACATTACATAATCTGCTACTCTAAGGGATTGCCAACAACTCCAATTCAGTTTGAATAAAATTGAGTCAGCTTTCAATAAGCACTCACAATATCAATATAGCATTAAGCATTGATTTCTTTCTTACAAAAACAGAACTAGTTTAGTTTCATACCCCCAAATATTGCACCCCGCTATAAATTTTTAGTGTGGCCTTCTGGATATACTTTTCTCTTATGGCATTCTAGATAGTACCTCATATAGTCAATAATCCAAAAGCTTCTTATTAAATATTACTAAAAACACCCAACTATGATGTTTTAGTAGAATGAAACATGAAAATACACACTATTTGTGTTCATAGTTTAGCATATTTGGAACAGATTATTTATAAATACACATTCAGTTAAAATAATTTGCCTGCTAAAAAGAAACATAAGGTTAAAATTGAGACAGCAGTTCAAAGTTGAAAAGTTTATGCAGCATTTTTGCTCTTACCAACTTCCTCATCCTTGCAGTTAGTTCAGTTAAATGCACAGTCTGGCATTTAAGAATGTTATGTTAATTATATTCAGGTGTACACATGTAATATGTCAAAGCCCATGTTCAAATTATGCATAATATGCAATTCTGAGTACAGTAGCAAGATAAGAACCTTGCACATTATTATTCAAACATGAATTCAAATATCTTTAGCCCGATGATACTTCCAAGCCACGAAGTTTTCTGCTTTAATACAGACAATATCAATATGTTCTACTTCAAAGTTAGACTTCTAATGATGCACTTTGACTACTTAAGCTGTACAATTTTCATAATGTCTATTTTGCTCAACATTACGAGGAAGGTTGGCCCTTGGCCTTTCAGACTGAAAAAAATTAGGAATTGAGTTCAGTTTAAAATTTTTAAGAAAAAAAAATTTTAAGTTATCTTTTAGAAACATGGTGAAAAAAATACTTCATCATCTTATTCTGTAAAAAGGTAATGTATTATTAAGAGGTAAGGTCTTCATTTTTAGAAACATCCCCAGCCATCAGATGAATTTTAAGGCCCATGTCAAATTGTAAATATGTAGAAAGCCTGCTGGCTTTATTTTTTGAGTTTCAGAAACATCACTTGTTCCTAGATGAAAGTGAGGGTATAACATCCCCATCTTCAATAGCTTTCACAGAAACAAAGCATGGACGTGGGTGGAGAATTTACCCTTTCTTCTGCAGGAGCAAACTGATCCATCATGGAGGAGGTAGCAATAAAGAAGTAAGTACTCTATGTATTAGACTGCAAACTTGGCAGCTGGAATTCAAGTGGAAATGGAATTCTAAATGGAGACAGGTATGGCCTGAAAAGTTAGATTTCTGATTACTGCAGCGTGTATTTGGGAATTACCCAGAACAATAAGCTCTCTACAAAAGCCAAGGTCTTTACAGACTGTAACTTTAGAGATTTTCTTTTTCTCTATCTATCACAACACGAGCAATAGCCTCAAGGTCTTATTTTAAAACCCATGAAACATACTTTAAAAAATGATTGTTGGACAGGTAGTGGCCACTGGCTGTCTGCTACCTCTTAAGAGATTCTTGTATTTCTAGGCCTTATGACCTGTGTGAGTCTAACATACATTCAGGAAGGACAATTAAATCAGAATTCCTGCCAATATCAGAACAAATTCAGACCTGGTCAAAATTGCACAATGGGAGACTAGTTACCACAGTACTCATTTCTGAACCATTGCTTCTAAATTAGATTTTGAGATACAACCAAAATATGTCCTGTATCAAGTAATACATAATATACCAAGTAAATCTTGGCTTTGAGAAACAAGAAAAGGACTTGCATTCTCTGACAGGCCTGGCCTCTCCTCTTTTGCCAAGCACGTGGCACACAGTTTGAACTAAGATTCCACAGCCAGAAAGAATTAATAAAAGCGTTTAATTAAAATACATACTCTAAGCCTTAAAATCTTGGCAGTAAAGATACTTTACTCCCAGCTGCCCTCCCCTGACACAGCTCCATGCCGTTCCCTCGGGCCCTGTCGCTGTCACACACAGCAGAGCTCAGCGCTGCCCCTCGGCTCCACGCGAGGAGCTGCAGCCGCCATGAGGCCTCCCCTCAGCTCCTCTGCTCTGGGCTGAACGAACCACGGACCACATCCGCTCCTCTCTCACCTTGGCCTCCAGACCCTGCCCCATCTCCGCAGCCCTCCTTTGGGCGCTTTTGGATAGTTTTCTGCCCTTGTATTGTGGCACCCAAAGCTACCCCCAGTGCTCAAAGGGAGGCCGTGCAGTGCACAAGAGAGCAGGAAAACCCCTCCCCTTGCCCAGCTGCCGGCACTGGTCCTGATGCACCCCAGGATACGGCTGGCCATAATTTTGCCTGGCACCAAAGTGAGACTTGCCAGTCCTAAAGATCCCACTGCTTTCATTCTTGCCTTTCTTAAAAACCAGACAACCTTTGCCAGCTACCAGACTAAACAGATGTCACTTCAGCAGCAGCCCTATTTGTGCCTGAAGGATTCACTATGGTGTTTTATTTTCATACGCAACCCTGCAATAAGAAGTTTTTCCAGTTAATAGGGGTAGGTACATCAGCTAGTTGGAAATGTTTATAATGGGCTGATATTTATATAATTTCACATGTAGTGGAAAAGGCTTCTCCTACAAGTTGTCACATGGATGGGTGAATTAAGAGTGGGTTCTTAATCTCAGCCACCAATCCCAGCAGTAGCAATGTAATCTAGGGCAGTAGTTTTAGCATCTTGCACAACATGAGGTTCTTTTTATTGATATTTTACTTCGTTCAAAGAAAAAAGATACTTGGTAGCAGCTACTTAGGTCCAAGCCCTTAGTCAGTAGGGTAATTAACTGAAGAGTCCATCTACTGTTAGGACTTCTGCTGCATTTGTTTCTGTTGCAAAAAAATACATAGCACGCATTAGATTAACTCTGCAGAACAATGACTGTAACTCAGATTTAGGGGAAAAACTATACATCTGTTTTCTCCATGGGCAGTAGCACCTAGGCTCTGACTATGACTAAGTAAATGGCAAATCTCACAGACTGTGTAGAAGTAAATGTAATTAGAAGGGAAGAAAAAAAATCAGAATTAAAAAAAGTTTTAGAAAATTTTAATTTAAGAAAAATTAAGGAAGTTAAACATAAGTTATAGGAAAAGTGGCAGATTATTTAGATCTCAAAATGCAAGGATTGCAAGGTCTGACTGTAGAACAGTTGCTCTAAGCCTGAGGTAGCCATGATGATTAAGAAAGATTTTAGTGCACTCAAAAATGCAAAATCCGCAATGGTGACTCACTTTCTGGTTATTGTCATGAAGCACTGAACAAATGCAAGAATGAGCTTCTACTGATGGTCCAGGTTTCCTCTGCTCTGTACATTATTACGGCATGTATGAATGATTTCTTAAAAAAAAAAAAAAAAAAAAAAAAAAAAAAGTATAATCTAGTGAGATTTAAGAGATGAACCCTGGGTAAGACCAACTTAAATAAAAATTAATAAAAAATAAAAATTAATACTTCTCATACTAAATAAAAAATAATACTTCTCATCACTTGCTTGTGAATTAGACTGTGAGATCAGAAAAGGACAGTCCCGCTCCAGCTTTATAGAAAATACCACAGTCCTTTCAGAAGGAAAGGAAATCTTGAATCCTGGACATAGACCTTTATACATATACTAGAAGAGATCAAAACTCTAAGAAGCATGGTCACGTTTCATAACTTATCTGGTATGGGGCTCAAACTACCAAGGCAGTCAATCCATATGGCCACAATCTAGGCAGCATCATAAGTCATCAAAGGAAAAGATATTCTTGGGGTAATGTTTTTGCTGTCTGGATACCACAGAGAAACTATCAAACAGAAGCCAAAAGTAACAACACAATCTCTTCCATTCTAGACCAAAAGGTAGCAAAGCACATTTGGAAAAGGGATAAATTGAAAAATTTCACATGCGTGCAGACACGCATCTGCTTGGGGAGCCCGGCTACTGAAGAAATAGGGGAGGACACTTCATCCTCCCTTTCACTATTACTTTCACTACTCCTTATCTCTCTATCACTTGAGAACTAGTCACTCCAGCCTTTGTGATGAGCCCTGTGATTGCTCCTGCTACGGGTCCTGTGGCTGTTCCAAGTATTGTGATAAAAAAAATTGCCCCCCGAGAGCACCACATCCAG